ATCAATGAAGGACTCTAAGGTCAGGCTTTGAAATAGTCCCAACACCTTCCTATTTACCTTGTTTATCCTTCAAAGATCCCTTTTTGAACATTGTGCCACCTTACACTGAGCTTGAAGCAAAGAAACAAGAGAGTACATTGAGTTCTAGCCGTGCCTCATTGGGAGCCGACCGTGGCCATTTGAGGCCAGCCGTGCCTTGGTAGTGATAAACATTGTTCTGGGTGGGAGCCCACTAGCTATCTATTTTTGAAGATATTTGCGACCTATTTTGCTCAAATTCTATAAATACGAGGTTATATCCCTGTTTTGAGGGTTGAACAATTTCTAAAGAGCCTATGCACTCATTTGAGAGCTCCTTCTTCTTGTGCAAGCCATCTTTGATCAAGCTTGCCATCTTTGAATCCTAGTTATTCACCACACACACCCTTAAACCTTACCCTTGGGGCCTTGGTTGAACCTTCAGAACCATAATTCAACCTTGAGAGTGTGTTAGGATTGAGTTTGCTCAACAATAAAGCTTACTCCATTTAAGAGGTATAAGCTTGTAACTTTTATTTCTTGCTCTCATTTCACTTCATTTTTAGTTATTTCTTGTGTTCTTGAGCTGTTTTGAATCCATGCCAAGTGTTGAAACTTGGATTTGAATAAACTACCAAAGGTGGTGAGGATTAACATCCTTACTTGTACCTACTTTCATAACTCAACCCTTTGTTTTTTTTTTTTTTTTTACACTTCTTTTTTTGAATTTTAAACTGATTTTTAGAGTTTAAAAAAGGGCTAAAAACATGGTTTGAAGTCCCAAAAGTTGGGGGGGTAGCCACCCCTCCTTGTTCTAGTTTACTAGCTTTGTATCTTTTTGTTATTGTCTACCTTTTTATGCTCTTTAACAGAAATTTTGGCCACTATTTTTCACAAAGTAGGGGCTGTTTTAGGGCTGTCCTAGTTTATTTAATTAGTGTATGCTTTGAACATATAGCTTATTGTGTTGGAAGTTCGAATATCTAGCTTGTTGTGTTATGTTACCCATGCTTTGATAGCTTTTCTTTGTTTAGTTTTTCGGGTTAAGAGTCCCATTCTAATAATCAATTTCTCGCAATCAATTCTGCCACCTTCTTCTTTTCTTTTGTTTGAGAGTTGCTTCAAAAGATTAACGGTTGTTCAAGACATGGGAAAAAGACCTATGCTCAATGGCTTAAATTCTATGGAAATTCATCGTCAAGGCATAGGCTCTCTTTCATGTCGAGAATTGCTTCTCGTTTGATGTTCCTTCTCATTTAGTGGACTTAACCATCACCTCAGACAAATTGATTAAAGAATGGAAATGACGAATAAAGAAAATGAGTTAGAATGCTTGGGTTCGGCCGGACGTTATGCCGAATCAATCATGTCAAGAATCGTTATACGTTAATTCATGATGTTTTGATGAATTTGGAAGTGTCTTTACCTCCCACTTTGAGCTTACTTCATGATAGGAGGGAAGAGTGGTTAGTCATAGCATCTATTGATTTTTGTCCGATTGTCTCCAAAATCATCAAGCGATTAAGTTGCTTATTGATGGTTTTGGAACCAACTTCATTCTTCTCTTGAACCTCACCATGACAGAGAAGAGTAGAAGAGACAAACAGAGCTTAGAAACACTTTGTCTGCACTGCTTTCACTTCAGAGCACAAAAACAGGGTTTCGCATGAAATTAGGGCATGGCCGGTTGTCTTTGGACCCAGCCTGGCCTTATTAGGGGTCGGTCGGGCCCCAATGTTTGGTAAACAATGTGTTTTTGCAGAAACAAGGGGGAGTGGCTGAAGGTGAAATAGGGCAGATTCCCAAGGAGGCAGACAAAGTGGCTTCTGAAACCTGTCCTCTTTGATGTAAATGCATTGCTTTAATTCATTATTGTAATCATTGTTGTTATAAATTATCATTGTTGTAATTAATTATTGTAATTAGTGCTGTTGTAGCAATGGTTCACTGGGTAGTTAGTTTATTACTTCTTATTAGCCTTTGTTGTAATAACTTAGCTAATTAGTTAATTGTAACTTAGCTCGTTAGTTATTTATTCATTCATTTGGTTTTGTAATAGTTTAGTTTAATTCGGACATTCGGACCCTCTTGCATGAGGGCAAATTGTAATAAGTGTGTATGTCTTCCGTCCCCTATTACTTTCTTCCTTTTACTTCTCTACTTATGATGGTAGAATAAAGCATCACGTCTAATTAGTATTTTCCATGTCCAAAATATCCATTTATCTTGTATGCATCAAAGCGCAGTTCATCATTCTAACTAAGCATTGTTATTGTTTAAGTTTTTTTTGAATACGTGCTTGGACAGCATACCATCAAAGTGCTTCAAATACCATGTTAGTAGCCGAGCCCATTAGGCATAATTGTTTGTGCTGCATTAGTCATATTGCATTAGTTAGGATCATGCATTATTTTCTTTTTTTCTAACTCTTTTATCTTTTTCGCTTGCCTTGGAGTACTAGGTGAGCATTTAATTGCTTTAGCATACCGCATGCATGTGATTGTTGCCACGTCATCAAAGCATAATTCCATGAGGCTCAGTGCTTAATTGATATAACTCTTGAATACCTGTGGATGAAGGCTAATTGCTTGAATTGGAATAAATTGATTAATGTGCATACAAACTCACTTTGTTATGTGACGCGTATTCAAAATAATTTTTAAACAAATATGAAATCAAAGTGTTCCAATTTTTGTAAATTAGTCTATACTTGAGTGCGTCACATAGTAATGCTAGCCTAATAAATCAAAACAAGAACATATAGTGTAAATAAAAATCACATCATGATTAGTAAAGGTCGATCTTTGATCAGGCGAGTGGGGTGCTCAATTCATGACCTTCCCCTCTCATGCCTAAGTTCCCGAGTTGAGACACTTTGGTGATGACGGACATGTGGCCTTTGGCACAAGTCTCGGGTTTCCTAATTTTTTCAAAAATATTTAGGTGGCGACTCTGTAATCTGGCAAAGCAGTCCATTTTTGGCATTTTTGATTCAAAATCTATTTTTCAAAAGACTTGTCGGATTTGGACTCATTTGTGTTTTTCTATTTCACATTGCACTTGTGGAATTAGATTCAAAACCACGGGAGTCCGAACTGTAGGCTATTGTATCTGAAAGGAGCACGAAAAGTCAAGCTACAATTTTGTACCAGGCACTCAGCCTATTTTGAAAACTCCTTACAGAATGTCAACTATTGAAATGAAAGAATTGAAAGAGCAGTTGCAAAATTTACTTGATAATGGTTTTATCCGACTAAGTACTTCACCCTGGGGAGCACCAGTACTTTTTGTGAAAAAGAAAGACAAGACTTTACGCTTGTGTATCGACTACCGGGAGTTAAACATGGTAATGATCCAAAACAAATACCCTTTGCCTCGTATTGACGATTTATTTGACCAGTTGCAAGGTTCACAAGTATTTTCAAAGATTGATTTGAGATCTGGATACCACCAATTGAAGGTGAAAGCAGAAGATGTTGAGAAAACTGCATTCAGAATAAGGTATGGTCACTACGAATTTGTTATTATGCCATTTGGAGTGACTAATGCATCTGCAGCATTTATGGATCTTATGAATCAAATTTTCAAGTCCTATCTTGATGAATTTGTCATAGTCTTTATTGATGACATTTTAATATACTCAAAGAGTAGAATTGATCATGAACAACATTTGAGAACTGTGTTGCAAACCCTTAAAAAAAAGAAAAAAAAAAGTTGTATGCTAAATTAAAGAAGTGCGAGTTTTGGTTAGATGAAGTGCATATAGAGTGTATGTATATTGCAAGATAGAGAGGGAGAGTGTTTTACAAGTTTTGAGCACTTAGGAATTTTTTCTAACCTAAAACCATAAGAGATGGTCAAGTATTTATAGAAAAATAGCTTAGTATCTCGAAAATATCTGTATGGAGCTAGCTGGTGCAAGGCACGCACATGGGAGGGAGGACAGCTGGCTATAAATATCTACCTTCCGGGACACCTGGCCTACCGACCAATGACTTGTACGGCTGACCACAAAAAGTGGTCGAGCAGTCCAAAAAAATAGCTCGCAAACCCGACTTCAAATGGGCATATCTCCATCATCTGGACTCAAGTTTAGGTGATTCTTGAGTCTAAATTAAAGCCCTAGAAGTCTATTTTCCAATGGTCATGGCCTCACACCTAAATTCTAAGTGTACAAGAGATATACCTAATTTAGTGAAGGCTGCTCATTTCTTTTTTAACAGTTTGATGCTCAACATTTTCCCCAACTAGTTTTCTTCCAACCCCTCCTATTTCCTTCAACTCCAAACCTATAAATAAGAAGTTTTTAAATATTTTTCAATGAGTTCACCTCCCTTCCATTTATTTTCACTTTGTCTTTACTTGGTTTACCGAAAAGTGCAATATTTTAAATGACATGCGAGCCTCGGAACATTGTAGGAACATTTGGAAAAATATTTTGAAAAAAAAGGTTTTAAGGTCTAAAATAATTTTGGTCAAAATGGGGTGTAAAGTTGGGATTAGGAAGCTCAAAAATCGCAGCATTTTGCTGAAGAATTTGAACGATTGTACAGTATAACTTTTCATTATCGAGTGTTCAACCTAATGCACCCAAGTCTTAAGGGCAATCAAAAATGAGGTGTCTACAGATACTCACAAGGCACTCTAGGAAATGTGCCCCAGGCTATGCTACTGTTACGACCCTAACCCGCTCCTAAGGGTTAGAGAGGTGACCGACCAATAATCTTAGATTATCAAGGCCTATCTTGACAAAATACAAAATATTTAACAAAATACTGGGGCCACAAGCAGAAGTTTTTGTTTTTGTTTTTGTTTTTGTTTTTGTTTTTGTTTTTGTTTTTGTTTTTTGTTTTTTTGTTTTTTTTTTACAACAATTAATCCAAAAAAAAAAAAAAAAAACTGTCCATGAGTAGTGCGTAACTAACATGAAAATATTACATATATATCATAATCCAAAAAAAAAAAAAAAAACTGTCCATGAGTAGTGCGTAACTAACATGAAAATATTACATATATATCATGTTTACATTACCCACACAAGTAAATGAAATATAACCATTCACAAGACACAATTTCATAATGTAGACTTCGCCCAAGCGACAACTCCAAGAAGGCTATCTTAAGAATCTTCAAATGCTAACTCTAACGTTACCCTTCATGTTACTCACCTACACACATATAAGGAAAAAGGGTGAGCCAAAACTCAATGAATAGTGATATAGCAAAGTGGTTAATGAATGAACACCTGCAGTTTAGCAAAACCAAGCATGCAAGCAATTGAACATAATATAGTTTTTCAAGCAAAACAAGATTGTCATATATACATAACGATGATTATTATCATGGCATTTCGATTTACAAGACAAGAGGCCACAAGAGGTGGCATAGCTTAGTTAGAAAGAGGTTATTGGCATGATTTCCAATAACAAATAAGTCCAAGATGTCATCGTACTAGATGATACAAAAGTATATGATGTTCATTCATAACAAAATAATAATATGACTTTCTAAACATATCATATATTTGCATTTCAAAATATAACTTTAAGAACATAACTTTACTACACTACTACTCACAGTGGCTCCTTGTTCAAGGCTAAACTCTTCAAGGCTTGACCTATAAAACAAGAACGAGACATTGAACTTCCTAAGCACAAACAAGGTTAATCAGTTTCTACTTAACTTTTTGCTATTCTTCTAACTTGTTTTAGGTTGGTTTCTAAATGCATTTGATCTTTATTAAGGTTCAAAACATGTATGCGGGTATCCGGAGGTCAATAGAAATGAAAAGAAACAAAATGGGTGACTACCCTGCAAACCACACGTATGGTGAATAGGGCCGCACATGCGGAACCCTGGCCGCACATGCGGGGGCACATGCAATTAAAACAAATTCAACTTTGTTGTTGCAAACAATGTGCCGCACGTGCGGAAGGCCTCATCGCACATGCGGTGCTTGGTAAACTACTGTTGTCCAAAAAAGTTGTTGGTTCTAAGTCAATTTCTTCCGTTTCTCAAGCTAGGGTTCAACCTAAAACACTCAAAATCAATGGAAAACATGAAGTTATTATTGTTTTCTAAATCAAAACATCAAAATCTTATTAATTCCAAAATTAAACTTAAAATTCCATGAACTTAATATGTGCCAAAACGTTTCTTTCTTTTACTTTTGATCATGAAACTAAATCTCAAAACTTATAAAAATCCTGAGATATGCAAAAAATGAGGTCAAAATTGTGAAGGATTAATTAAATAATAAAAAACAAGCTCAAATAATAAATTTCTAAACCCACTTCTTTGTTCTTAAATTAATTGAATTTTCTTCCATCTTCTTAAATTAAACCTCAATTTCATATTTATATGTTTAACCCATGCATAGAAGATTATAATCTTTAGGAAAACATTTGTCTACAAGGAATTTGGGGATTAATTGACTTAAAACATACCTGCCATGAAATCTTCTTGAAACCCATCTCAACTCAAAGTTTCTTCATATCTTTTATTTTTAATTCTTTCAAAATCCATCTTGAATCAAATTATGTCTGGATCATTTAAACAATACTAGTAAGAGGATGAAATTTCTTACCTACAATCTTCAATTTGGTGAATCCCTTCACAACTTCTTAAGCCTCCTCTTTCTCCTCCTTTCTTTTTCCCTCTCGGTTCCCTCTTTCTCTCTCTCAGTTCTCTCTTTTTCTCTCCTTACGTTGCTCTCTCCCTCTCTCTTTCAGCGCTCTCTCCTACAAGGCAGATGAACTAACCCTTACCTCTTGGCTCAGCAAAACAAATGAATACAAAGCACACGCACCTCTTGAGAATATAACATGTGTACCCAAGGCTTCCAGTACAACATATACATATATACCCTCAAACCTCTATACTATTTCACAACTTAAATTCTGATTAGGATGGGCTTAACACACTAATTGTTCATTAACTTAATTAAACATCACTTAGTCTTAATTAATTATAATTACTACGTAATTAGTGTAATTATTTCCAATTGGGACTTAATTTAATCATATCTAATTTTATTAATTTGAATCAAATTTTTAATAAATTTCCCATAAAGTTTTACATATTAAATTGATTCAATTAAGCTCATTACTTATGGTTTCTTAATTCATCTCAACCTTCAATTTCTAATTCAACTAAAGGCCCTGCAAATGAAATTGAATTTATTAAGCTTCTTCATCTTTCATTTTATTGACTCATGTTAAATTAACATACTAATTATCCCTAACCTAATCAATCACCTTTTAATCTTAATTAAGATTTGGTTGTATAATTCTCATGATAATTAATCTATCGAATCTTAACCAAATCTTAATTTATTTTAATCTTACTTAAATTTAATTAAGCTTCCACGAGGTTTACACATTAGACCAAATTTATTAAATTCCTCATTTTGGTTTCTAAATCATATAATAACTCAAATTTTTGATTTGAAACAAAATCTCTTTTAATCTAGTTACTTTCATTAACTCATTAACCTTGATTCAATTTAATTAATTATATTCAATTTTAGATCTTCATTACCTATTTGATTCCAATTAAATTAAATTAAACTCGCCTAATTTCCGTTAACATGATCAAATTTTCAACAAATCCTCTATCATATTCTAAACATCAAATTAAGCTATTAAGCCCTTCAATTAGAGTTTCTAAGATGCGTAAATATTTCAGTTCAAAGTTTGAAGTTATCCTCTAGCTCAATTTTATACATTAAAATTTAATATAAATGCTTTCCTTAAAATTGATCCAATTTGTTTAAGTCTCGCAATTTTAATCGCATATGCTTCTTTTAAATTCTTTGACATTATATTTATATTCGAACACTCCATCCTAATAATTCATATTTCCATTTCTAGAATATTATATAATTATTAAATTATAGTACATATGTATTTATTTATGCCATCTAATACTACATTTGGTGTGGTATATATTTCCTTTGACAACTTTGGAGATGATTACTTTTTAACTTTTACCAATTGACAAGGGAGCTCACATGGTCAAACTTATTATTTATATTCTTTTCCAACCATTTAGTTAACTATTTCATATTATAAGATAAACTAATTTGTTTTAAACCATTTAAATATGGATTGTACTATGTTTTCAGTAAGTGGTATTCTTCGAGTCATTATAGCTACCCTCCTTGGCTAGTGTAATCGCGAAGAGGAAACCATCACCATCTGGTGTGCACACGGTAACCCTTCTACGATGACAGTCTATAATGGCGTGGTACGAAGATAACCAATCCATGCCTAAAATGACGTCAAAATCCAATATATCAAATACAATGAAGTCAAAAGAGAGTCGGCGATTGGCGACCTCAATCTCACAACCACGACATACCTAATTCAAGACAACTTTACTCATAACCGGTGACTCTACTATAAGTGGAGACTCTAGTTGATTAATCTCAAACCTCAGAATAAAGGCAAATAGAGAAAATATGAATAAGTGACATGCCCCTATATCTATCAACACATTGGCCCAACTATTGAAGAAAATATACGTACCTCTCACTATAGTTGGTCCAGATGACTGCTCGAATGTGGTGACGATGTACACTCACCCTTGTGGTCTCTACTCACCTTAGTCATTCCTCAGAACATAGGCTTGATGTACAGGCTGTGAGAAGTGGCCGCATGTACTATCCTGGATGTCTGTTCTAACTAAAGTGGCTAATGAATCTATCCCTAGCCCTAGCCCACCTAAAATCCTCCAGACTGTCGGGTCCTTAAAGCACTGGCTGTCTTAGCCAACTGTTGACAAGACCTCTTCAAATGCCCCATCTGCCTGTACTGATAGCATATGGGAGGTTAACTTCTCCCCTAACACTGGCTCTGAGAACAAGCCAGCTACTGTTGTTGACTAAAACCTTGGGTGCACTCAGAAGCTTTGTGACCCTATTGGCCACATCTAAAACAATTAACATAGCTCTGAATTGTGTTCTCTGAACTCCTCATCAAAACAGGAACTGAATATGTGGCCTATTAGGGCCAAGATTGAAAAGAAGGTGAACCCCTCGATTTCTTAGAAGATCCCGTATCACCTCAGGACTCTGTGTAACTCGATATTTTAAACTTTTGCCTCACCTCTTCAGCCTCTACCATGATTTCTATGTGTGCCGCGACTTTAACAACTTGGTCATACTTCCTAACCATGTTGTCCACCACCTTTATCAAAATCTTGGGCCTCAACCTTTTCTCAAACTCCAAGCATTGGTGCTCCTTGGCCGCCACAAGTTAGGGTGCAAAACGGGATAGACTAGTATAAGAGGCCTCAAATTTGGCCATAGGAGTGTCAAGCTATTTTAGGTTCTTAAATTGTTTCCTCAACCTCTCTCTAGTAGTGGGAGGTAAAAAATTCTCGTAGAAGGCGTGAGAAAATGCCTCCCAAGTGTGCTCAACACGGTTCTTAGCAGAATTCCAACATTGACCAGCTTCCCCTTTCAATTGGTAAGCCGCAAGCGTTACTCAGAGCTCACTCTCATGGATGTCTAAAATCTGAAAGGATTTGATGATCTGTTCTAGCCATTCATCTTCCTTCATGGGATCGGGTCCACCATTGTACTTGGCAGGATTAGAATGGAAAAACTTTTTCTTTAGGAAGGTGACTCTAGTCTCTCCCTCTATAGTCCTAGCCACTTGCTCGGCTCTAAATATATTCATGGACCCCTTAAGAGCCCAGGTTATTTCTCGGGCCAATGCTCTCATTGCATCTTGTGCCAAAGGTGCGGCCACATTATTTTGTCCAACCCCCTCTTCTTGGAGAGGAATACCTTGTTGGGCTGAAATACCTCAACCACCCTGGCAAGGTCGATCACGGCCACATCCAGATATCATATATGAAAGTAGAGGTAAGATTAAATTCATAATTCACATACCCACATGTCACTTTACACATCACATATGCATAATCATGAACCTACACATGTATCTACTTCACATAAGACAAACTACATAATCACATAGAGCACATACGAATCACCCTCCTAAGATATCAACTTATTCCACAGTACTCAAGGACTTCCAAGTGAAAAAAGTAATGATCAAGTACATTTCCAAAAAGATTTCGATGAATGCAATGGATGCAAGTTGTATCATAGAAACTTAACCTCATATCCACATAAACACATAAAACATGCAAGACAAACTAATATCTCATTCTAGCATGATAAACCCATTATAACAAAGCCACGTCCCATGAGCTCAAGGTATTCAAACCTAGTTAGCTCTAATACCAAGTTGTAACGCTCTTAAATTTATCATCCATTTTATAATTAAAAATAAAACCATTAAATATTTTCCAACTATTACAATGAACACCCTTAAAGAACATATTCTTTTACTCAAAATAATCTCTTTCTCATTGAACTATTTTAAGTGAAATATACATTATTGTCTCATTAACAAATAATCATCAGTAACAACAGTTCAAAGAGTAAGAAAATACAAAAGTATAGTGCCTTAATGGAGTACACATTTTCAAGGATAGTCCTTGCATACACAAAAGTGGACATTCAATCTCAAACCACAAAATAGCCTTAGAGCTTCAACAAAAAAACATCCGTTAAGCCTTCGTGCTCCATTCAAAACACTTCTACTGCCAAGTCACTTGGGCGGAGTCACATCATCAATTCTTGAAATATTGTCAATTTGGGATGAGCTAATGCCTAGTAGGGATATTGTTAACAACGTATATAAATTATTGAGATGCATATATCATGCTATACACTTGTTACGATAAAATCCATATTTTTGCTTTCAAAATTTATAATGCTCAATGCATGATTTCCTTTTGAAATCTCTTTCACAATAATGAGGTGGTAAATACGCTATGACGTCCCAAGCAAGAGCCGTAAAACCTTACATACATATATAGATTTATTTACTGAACATATTCTTACATTTGCCGACTCTAAAAATGGCGGAGCGATGAGCACCTAAAACATTTCCTTTCACATTTGCCAACTCCTAAAATGGCGGACTCGTGAATACCCAAAAACCTTTTCCCACATTCGTTCAACAAGCTCAAACAGGGCAATCGGACACATTGACTCCCCGTGCGAGTACCAATACAATACACAACCATTTCCAAAATCTGACTCAACTACTCGGACTAATAAGCTATTTACCCCTTCCAACATTTCCAAATATTCACAAGATTGTAGGATCAAAGAGAAAATTATAATGCAGATGATGCATGAGTTTGCAAATCCCAATTTACCTAAGATTTATTCAATTCATAAGTAAGATTTAACAGTAGCAACAACAAAAGAATTTCTCCAACTTCTCAATTCCACAACTTCAACATTCATCCATCTCAATACATATATCGAAGAAAGTTTAAAAATCTCATGTCTCAACACCGTTGCTGTAACCATTCACCCAAATTCAAGATTTAAAAGTCAATTGAATTAAGCACCATTATTAAATCAAGTTTAAAAACTAGGATTTTCAGAAATTTTGGGCTTTTTCCTCTTTTACACTTTAAGACCAATATTTGTCATCAACATCAATAATCAATAAGAAATATTCATAATATTTCCCAAAAATCAAGTGTAAGTCCCTTTTTGTTTATCAAAACTCATTTTATATAATCAAATCATCTCATACATCACTACAACTAAGAAAATACCACATATATACCTCAAACCATAGATATACCAAGTCAAAAGTCCCCCTATCTCGAAAATGAGAGCTTGAAGTTGAAGATCCAATAGGAAACCTCGATGAAAACATGATCCAATCGGTGAAAAGTTTGATCTTCACTAGTTCTTCACTTTTAATGTGAGGTTTTGAAGGGATCCTCGGTAAAACTAGAGGAAACCAAGTGTTTGAGGTTAAGTTTTTGGAAATAGGTGTTAGAGGGAGTGAGGAAATGAAAAAGTGAGAAAGAAATAAGCAAAAGTCGATTTTTAAGTTGGTTTTCCTGCATAGACCACTCGAACGGTCTTTCCACTGCTTGAGTGGTAAACTCAAGCTTCCAGAAATTTTGCAGGTCTGAAATGAATAAGTACAGGTTGCTAAGCTTCTCTACTCGAGCGGTCTCCCTCAACACACAGCTTGCAGAAAATAATATTGGGATCCTCGATTCGCCACTCGAGTGATAACTCTATCGCTCAAGTGGATATGCAAAGTTTTTAAGATGTTACAATCGGTGCACAGAAACACTCACATGAATGCGGGACCCACACATGTGGGACTCATGTGGAACCCATCCTCACATGAAAGTTTGTGTGCATTATGTATACAGATTTTCTTTGTACATAGTATTTCTCTATACATAATATGGGACAACCTTCTAGTAGAGTCCCATAATTAAACCATATTAATTGAAATTAAATTAAGTAGATGAAATGTGTAATTTAAGGATGAAATAATATTTAAAAAAAATAGTTTAAAAAATAAAAGTGAAATTAATCTTAAAATTAAGTAGGCAAAAAAATGAAAATAAAAGAAAATTGTTAAAAACTCACAATTCAACCACTATGGTATGACACAAAAGTTGGGTCTCATGATTAAGTTTGCCCTTACATGATTGAGTTCATGAACCAAACACTATCTTATAGCATGCACATTTATTGAATAAAGTACGCATCATTCGTTTACCTAACTAGTAATACATAAATTATGATGATAAAAAATATATATAATTAAAGCAATATAAAATATATGCATAAATATGAATTTCTATATAAATATATTATATAATATAATTTGTATTCGGGTCGAGGTAAGCTTAAAGCGTTCTTTATTAACTCACATTATAATCAGATCTAAAAAAAATTTCTCGACTTGGCCAAACTGAAATCCAAACTGTAATTCCAAACCTTATAAATCGTAATAGTCATATAGTTCGGGGCTTGTGTCACTTTGGTCGCTGATTTTTTAATTGTAACACATTTGATCCTAAATTTTGAATCTTATTTCAAATAAGGATAATTGAATATATAATTAGATTTTTCAAGAGTAAAATTGTCAATTTGATAAAATATAAACTAATTTGAAAAAAATAAATGTCAAAGAAATATTTTTGAATTTTTAAAAATTATTTCTACCTACTAAAATAAAATTATGTAAAATTGATAAATCTTTTAGACATTTATTTTTTTTTATCAAATTAATTTTTATTATGTGTTTGGATGATGATCATGTAAAATTAATTTTAAAAAATTAATCATCTAATTTTTATTAATTTTACATAATTTTATCATTAGATAAAATTAATTTTAAAAAAATTAAAAATATTTTTTTGACATTTATTTTTGTCAAATTAGTTTATATTTTATCAAATTGATGATTTTACCCTTGAAAAATCTAATCATATTTTCAATTGTCCTTATTTGGAACAAGATTCAAAATTCAAGGTCAGATGTGTCACAATTAAAAAATCAGAGATTAAAGTGACACAAATCCCAAACTATTAGTGTAATTACCCCTTTTTTTTAATTATATTTTTTTAAGATAAGGTCATTTAGGCATATCACAATATTAGAGTTATGATTTGCAAGTCACATAACTATTTTCATTCCATTTATGTAATGAACTTTTTAATAGAAGTTTTAAATTGATATAAATTCATAGATCAGGTATGAAAATGTAATATTCACTTCAAAAAATGAGTGATTTAGAGATTAATATTTAAGGACTACATCTGAAATCGATGGATTGATTCTTCTTCTTCTTCAAATTTTCTGTAGATTTCTACAAGTTTGAGGAAACCGATTGGTTGATTCACTCTCTCTCAAGGTATTTCTCGGCTCTACAAGCTGTATTGTTCGATGTGAGAAAATCGAAGACGAAATCGATGTATTTGGTATATCTATGACAGAGATCTTAAGCTTCATTATGGTAGATCTATCAATTTCATTTTCCCAACAAACACACACACACACACACACATATACATACATATATATATACATCATGAAATCGATGGGTTGATTCTTCCGCTTCTTCAATTTTTTTTTTGCAGATTTCTACAAGTTTGAGGAAATCAATTGGTTGATTCACTCTCTATCAAGGTATTTCTAGGCCCTACAAGCTATATTGAGTTTTTAACAAAGATTGTAGCAATTTTGAACTTGCGTGGGTGCTGATGGATGCGCAGTAACAATATGAAAATTTAAGCTCTGTTTAGATAAATAGTAAACAAAATGGAGACCACGAGTGCAATGTAAGGAAATTGTTACTCGATTTTTTTGTTTTATTTTATTTTTAACATGGTTTGAAATTCTTGATTTTGATTATTATTATTATTATTTTTTAATTTTTTTTTTTTGAAGCCATTAGGAAGGACTAACTCGGGGTTTAGAGAATTTCTTTAACTTTTTCGTTCCTTGAAATAGTTTAAGTGCATGTGTGATTGATGCTTAACTTGCAATTCTTGTACTTTCTCAGGCAAATACAGTGAAATAAACTTGTGTTTAGATTTGCTTTCTATTTTCAAAAGATAGTGTATTAAATGCTATTGCTTTTTCTTGTGATCATAATTTGCAATTCTTGTTCTTGATTAGGCAAATACATGACAAATTTGGTAAACTTGTGTTTAGATTTGCTTTCTATTTTGAAACGGTAGTGTATTGAATGCTATTATTGCTATACTTTCTCTTTGGCTACCAGGTATTGATTTTATGTTAAAGCACAGTGGAAAAAGAATGACTAGTGGTTTTTTCCAAGGGAAATGTGTCATCATTAACACTAACAAAATCACAATATTAAGGCAAGCTGAAATCTGTCACTTTGATTCCTCACTTTTGTCACTGTGTGCTTATTTGTATCCAAAAATACTAAAATAAGCAAAAAAGAATTGGACGCATGAACATTTTGCTTATTTTTGTCTACCAAAGTTTGTTCTATGTGATGTGTGCATCTATTCTAAACTTAATGAAGTTAATGCCTCTCATCAGTTTCATTAGCAAACAAATTAGTTGGTTTATTTAGGCATCATTTGTTGGTGTGTTTTGGAAGAAAATTTTTTTGCTTCCGAAAGCAAGATCTGGCTTGATGTAGGAGTTGAGAATCACACACACTGCACATTTCCTACTCAGTGTTTCAAGCAATTTATGTATTTCTTAATTTATTAATATCCATATCTCATGTAGTATAGAAGAAAGGTATGGCAACCAAAAGAAGCATTACACATTTCAGAATTAGATCAAATTTCCGACTTAATGTATTTAAAACAAAATCAAGTTAATTTTTTGCAAAAAGAAATTAGTTTTCTTACTACAGAACAACGAATCCAGCAATCTACTTTTCAACAAAAAATTAAATTACTTGAAAAAGAATTCCAGGACGAAATTTGCAGTGATGTTCCAAATGCTTTCTGGGATCGCAAAAAGCATATGGTATCACTTCCTTATGAGCCTAATTTTGATGAAAAAAGAATTCCTACAAAGGCTCGTCCCAGTCAAATGAAAAAAGAGTATATGGAACTTTGCAAAATTGAAATTAATACTCTTCTCCAGAAAAAATTAATCAGACCTAGTCGATCTCCTTGGAGTTGTACTGCTTTTTATGTAAATAAAAATGCTGAGATAGAACGTGGTACTCCTAGGTTAGTAATTAATTATAAACCTTTGAATGAAGTCTTACAGTGGATTAGATATCTTGTTCCTAACAAAAAGGATCTCTTGGATCGTCTACAGGATGCAATTATATTTTCTAAATTTGATATGAAGTCAGGTTATTGGCAAGTTCAAATTACTGAAAATGATCGTTATAAAACTGCTTTTACAGTACCCTTTGGACATTTCGAATGGAATGTAATGCCCTTCGGATTAAAAAATGCCCCTTCCGAATTTCAACATATTATGAATGATATTTTTAATCCTTATTCAGAATTCTCCATATGTTACATCGATGATGTTCTTATCTTTTCCTCTTCCATTGATCAGCATATGAAACATCTTAATATTTTTAAGCATATCATTTCCAGAAATGGGCTTGTTGTTTCTGCTCCAAAAATGAAACTTTTTCAGACACAAATCAGATTTTTAGGACATAATATCCATAATGGTACTATTATTCCTATTAATCGCAGCATGGAATTTGCATCCAAATTTCCAGATGAAATAAAAGACAAAACTCAATTACAGCGATTTTTAGGAAGTCTTAATTATATTCATGATTATTATCCTAATCTTGCTACTGACGCTGCAATTCTTTATACTCGTCTTCGTAAAAATCCACATGTTTGGAGTCTTGAGCATACAGCTGCTGTCCAAAAAATTAAGGCTCAAGTCAAGACATTACCTTGTTTATGTCTCCCTTCACCTGATTATAACAAAATTGTAGAAACTGATGCTTCTGATTTAGGTTTTGGTGGTATTTTAAAACAATTAAATCCCAAAACCAGTAAAGAAGAACTTCTACGTTTCCATTCTAGTATTTGGCATGATGCTGCTAAAAGATATCCAACCATTAAAAAAGAATGTTTAGCAATTGTTAAATGTGTCTTAAAATTTCAGGATGATTTATTAAATCAAGAATTTTTAATTCGTGTTGATTGTTCTGCTGCCAAACAAGTTTTCAAAAAAGATGTTGAAAATTTAGCTCAAAAACAGATTTTTGCTTCTTGGCAGGCTGCCCTTTCTGCTTTTGATTATAATATTGAATATATTAAAGGAGAACATAATTCTCTCCCTGATTTTCTGACTCGTGAATATTTACAGACTTCTCATGCAAAATTGGGGTAGAGGTCCCGGCCGTCGTGGCCGTGGACGTGGATTTCCACCTCCACCTACAGACTTTCCTTCCCTCCTGGGAATCTACAGTAACAAAGGGGAATCTAGCCAGACGGTTAAAGATGTCCTCCTAACTCCAGAAACTTATTTCCAGAATTCCATTACAGAAGAAACTGTTCTTTATATTGATACAGCTGATATCCAATGGGTTTCTGATCCATGGGAGGTTAAGAAACGCTATCTTGCTACTCAAAATAGCCCTCCACATTTGGATACTTACCGATATGTTTATGAACAAATTCTGACTGAATTAGCTTCTGTCCAATTCCAGCATCATTATGCCGATTCTAATCGTACTGCCAGTCCAATTAATTACAGTAAAGCTACCATCCAGTCTATCATGCCCATCCAAGCCTGGGGTATTCATCCCCATGTTACCCGTAGTCTTGATATCCGTTACAGCTATTGGGATTATATTACTGCTTTCACCCAGACTTTCTATTATATGAACCCTCCTCGTTCTCACTCTTGGTTCTTTCGGGTTCTTCCTGATGTCCTTAAAAATGATCTCCCCTCTTGGTTTCTTATTTGGTGGGATACCTTTGGGTTACAGCTCGATGCTTTTCCAGAATATGTTCGCCTGGCCTTTAATGAATGGCAAGCCATTTTCAGTATTCTTCCAGTTAATAAAAATATTTCCATGTCCAAATGTCTAATACATTTTGTCATTCGCTTCAGTATTCCTTGGATATGGAAATGGGATTTACAGTGCGATTTCCAGAATAAAGTTCCTCGTTTAAAAAGAGTTTTCTTTTATAAATGGTGGAAACAGATGGATGATACAAAAAATAAGCAAGACTTGCTCCAGCGAATCAAAGAACACACTCAATCCTGCCTAGATGCCTGTCCAAAAACAACTCCAGTCATTCCTACCAATCCTTTTATTCAAATCCAGCAAGAGCTTCGACGTAAATATCCAGAAATAACAGAGGAAGAACTTGTTGCCAAAAGTATGGATTTCATGAAGCAACAATTTCTTGAGTCCATGGCCCCTAGAGACTCTAGCATGAAGTCAGCCTCCAGTGAGGGCGAAAAAACTCAACCTGACCCATATTCAGATGATGACAATACATTCACACCTCTTGCAGGAGAATCTCAAGACCCGAATGAAGATCCATCCGATCCAGATTTTGGTGATATTTGGGACTCCGTGACAGAACTAATTACCGACAAACTGGTACGGGCCAAAGGAAAAGGAACACGAAATGACAAATAATGCGTCTTGCCCACCAGTCCTATTCTGTCTATCATTTACTTTCCAGCATCACTAGTGGCCAAATAACTTTCGGTGCATAATGCAGCCACTTTATCTACTTTTCTTAAAGTAGATTCCTTGCCGACAAAGCTAAAGATAAGAGGATAAGGATGATCGATTGCAAACCATTCAGCACACGCCACCTGTCCTTGTTATCTGTTCAGTTTGCAATATAAATAGGTAGCCCTTGGTTTGTAAGAGGCACCACTAGAAAAATTTTATTTTTCCTCGCTTAAAACTCTGTACTCTCTCTCTCTCTCTTTCAGGGTGAAGCTTTTGAAGCATAGTAATAATATATCTGCTGGTTTAAGTAAGTTATCTCTCTATGTATGTCTGTATATGATCTTATCCTTTTGCATGATATTTTAGCATTTCATAACGAACGAAAGAATAATTTCATAAATACATACCTTGCTTTGTGGCCTAATGATCCTTGGGCAAAGCAAGAATTATTAGAAATAAATAGATTGATTGCCCTAACTGAAAATCAAATACAGGAAGCCATCATCGCAGCCGCAAGGGCTAATCGCCCTCCTCCTACAGATTAATTTATTCATGGACCATATATGATGTAATTAAATTTAACTAACGTAGGATTATTTTTTGTATTATTCCTGGGTTTGTGCTATATAAGGGTTAAGCATTTGTGTTATATGTTAGTGGGACGTCACTCAAGTCGCGTAGCCTTGATTGTCCAAAACAGCAGTGAGCCGGTGCGGACTAGTTGGCATAAGTCGTTGACAGACGTGCTAACCTTTAACCCTGGTGTCACGCTTATTGGTATCAGAGCCATGTTTAATATACGTTATAATCCATGTTAGTTTTATTTAATTAGTCATATATGGTCACATACAAAACAATGAGTAACGAATCTACTGAAATCAATTTTGCTGTCACTAATATTGGGGCTTCTACATCAGAGGCTCGTGAGTTAGTTGCATACCAGGATGTTAAGGATGCCTTAGATAAGTGGACTATTCCTAAGGTAGATCCAAACACTATTTACAAACACAGAATTAAAACCTTTTTCAGTAAAACTTTAATAAAAACTTTTGAACATGCTGCTCCAGTTAATAATAATGATACACTCATGTATTTATTAAATATACAGGATTTAATGCCTTTTTTCAAAGATTATAAATATGTTCATATAGGACTTGTCCAGATTGCCTTAAAACCTTTGACCCTTCTTGGTCAAAATACCAGCATGCAGTGTACACTTCGAGATGGCCGTTGTCTCAATTGGCGCGCATCTCTTATGGGTGCAATGGAAACAAGTTTGTCCCATGGTCCAGTCTACTTTGATATTTATCCTAATCTGAGCATTGCTCTTTCAGACCAAAATCTATCTAAAGTTTTAGAATTCAGAATACTTACAAATGGATATGAATATATGACTGGCTCTCCTCCCTTTTCTGTCATATCTCGAATTTATCTTAAAGTCTTAACTACTTTAAATCCATATGTAAGGAGAAAAGGAACTGATGGTGAAACTGTCTTAATTGATACCAACCTTTACAGTAGCCAAGTTGCAGTACCTAAATTATTAGAATGGGATAAAATTACTTTTCCGGAACAATGGAAGATCACAAATGCTGTTCCTTCCCGCCCCCTTATAAAACATAATTTAGATGAAATAATCCAGACCAGGCAAGGAGATGTCTTTCTCCAATTCCAAAAACCACCAGTTAAATTACATCGTAGTATGTCTAGTGCTAGTTTTCGGACTGCTCCTAGCCATCAACCTTACAGAGTCGATTATCCAGAATCCTCCAGACAATCCTTTGCTGAACCTCCGGATGCTATATTTCAAGGTAATCCTTCCAGATCTCATTCTCGACCGACTTCGGATGAACCAAACGAATCAGATCAAGATCCGATAGTTAGAGGTGTTCAATATTCTGAGCAACGGATTCCACATGGGGTTTATGAACCACCAATACCTTCAGTTCGACGTGAATCCAGAAGAGGCTCGTTAAGCCCTACCGCCAGCGATATGGATTTTAGAATTTGATGGATTTTACACCTGGTAGTATAAACCGTAAATTCTTAAATCAAGAATTTTTACAGGAAAAATATTCTGATTTTCGTAAATGGTATTTTGCAAACCATACTTCAGACCAACTAAACGATTATAAACTACAGTATTATTTATATTTGGAAGAGATTCAGGTTTTATATCATTTTCCGCTTTGGTATAAATCAAATGTTCAGCCTTCTGCTGCACATATACAGGTCCTTGAAGAATTCCAGCAAAAATGGGTTACTACTGATGGGCGAACTATAGTTAATATTCATCCTCCAACCCAGCCGTTAGAACTCCAACCAATCAATACTCAGACTTCCACCTCTAATGGTAAACCCATGGTAATTGCTGCCTTTTCTGACATGCCACACCGTACACAAAATAAGGATCCTGTCTTAATCCAAGATTTTACTACAATTCTAAAACAGAATAATTATACCAATTTATTCTGTCAAACCGCTGGAAAGCAGCTTACTCGAATTGAAGAAATGGTATCTCATGTTAAGAAAAGCTGCAAATTGTTACCTGCATTATGACATAAAACTTGTTTATTAAAAAGTCAAAGACGTCAACAAAAATAAATTTGTGTAGTAATTTGTCGACGTAATTTTAATTGCACACCATAAAGTGGAAAAGATGGTTAAGAAAGTTAAAACAATTGGGAAAAGAAAATCAGTACATGTAAATGTTAAAATGTAAAGAGAAGGGTTCATACCTGCTCGCCTTCTTTTACAAGAAGTCTTGACAAAAACACACCAATAAACCGAGTCCCTCCCATTATCAGGAGGTGTATAAATGTGACCATGTATAAAGCTGCAAATTAGAACCTAAACCTCCTATTCTTACAGATCCAGTTTTTATTAAACCATCTCCTGTTTTGAAAGATTTTAATTTAAAACCCAAAGCTGAAACTGATTTTATGGAAACTATTCTGTCTCAAATCCGTGATTTAAAAATTTCTGATTCTTCCTCTAAATCTAAAGCCCAAGTCCTTATGCTATCTAGCAATCCTCTTCATTCTATTCCTGATGATCCCTATCAAAATTTGAGTCTCCCTCAAATTCTTCAAATTGAAACTAATTTTACATCTCCTGAACCCTCCACTGTTAATCGCGTTTATACACCTAACATCCAGAAAATGGTTCCTGTTGGTAGTACTCGTCACTATTACCCTCGACCCACTCCTATGGATATCCTGTACGAAGAAGATTTCCTTCAGACTCAACGCTCCTATAACAGTACTGCTATTTATGAATGGAATATTGACGGTCTTTCTGAATACCAACTTTATGAACTCCTTCATCATATGTTGATGTTTGCTACTGTCTGTAAACAAAATCATAATACCGATCACCAAGTTGCCCGCATGCTTGTTAGTGGTTTCACTGGTGCGCTGAAAGGATGGTGGGATAATTATCTTACTCATAATCAATGTGCTGAAATCCTTTCTGCTACCAAAACCACTACCACTATTCCTGACCGAACTCCTACCAACCCTAATCCGGACCCAATTGAAACTGAAGAAGAAGATGCTGTTTATACCCTTATTAATACCATTGTTGCTAATTTTGTTGGTAACACTATTGGTATTGCAGATCGAAATAGGGAATTACTGATGAAATTAAGATGTCCTACTTTGTCTCATTTTCGTTGGTATAAGGATGTTTTTCTGATGAAAGTTATGCAGAGAACAGATGGAAGTGATGAACATTGGAAAGCCAAATTCATTGATGGTCTTCCTCATCTCTTTGCTGAACGTGTTCGTAAGAGATTACGAGACATACATCACTCTGTTGATATTCCGTATTATCAATACACCTACGGTCAGTTGATTAATATTGTGACTAATGAAGGTCTTGCTTTATGTAACGACCTTAAACTTCAGCAACAACTTAAACAACAACATTTAATTGGAAAACGAGAGGTAGGAGATTTTTGTGAACAATTTGCTTATGACCCTCAAATTCAATATCCTTACAAACTCCATAAGCAAAGGAAACATAAGAATCATTCCAAGCCGTACAAAAAATCCAGAAAATTTTCAAAATATTCTAAATCTCAACATCAACCTCAGACATCTAAATCCCGACCTAAATCCAAAGGCAAATCATTTCAGAAAAACAAATCTAGTATTAAATGTTATAAATGCGGACAAACAGGGCACTATGCTAACAAATGTAGAGCTAAAGTTCAGGCAAAATTAAATGAGTTAGCATTAGATGAAGAAATACAGCAAAAAATTCTCCAATTAATTTCTGACTCTGATTCATATTCAGATGAACCATCTGACAATGAATTAGCAGCAATTTATTCATCATCCTCTGATACTGAGAATGAATGTCCAGAAAATGAACTTTGTCCTTGTAAAACTTCTGTTAATCAAGTTTCTGATGAGGCCAATTACTGGAAATCAATAGTTGAAATGAATGGTCTAAATATTAACAGTCCCAGTATTAATGTTTTGACTGATTCTGAACAAAATCTTTTAACTATTGCTGATAGTATAAAAGATCCAGAAATCAAATTAAAATTTCTTGAAATGTGTTATAAACAGAAAAAGGAAGAAGTTTTAGTTCCTACAATTTATAACATGAAAGAAGTTTTTTCCCGTCTTCAAAACCCATCACCTTCTAAAACAGATAAATCAGTTTCTGTCCAGGATTTAAAAATGGAAGTTAATGCTTTAAAAATTGAAATCAAGCATTTACAAACTTCTAACTTAGCAATAAATTCTGAAATTAAAAAGATTAATAAAAAATTACAAGAAAAAGAACAAGATAATCCAGAATATTTGTTATCTCTAACCAGGATAACCTTTCAGAAATGGTATATTCGTATTACCTTTATGATTCAACCTGATTTTATTATGCGTAATGCAATTGCTTTGGTTGATAGTGGTGCTGATATGAATTGTATACAGGAAGGGTTGGTTCCCACTAAATATTTTCAGAAGACTAGTCAATCTCTTACCAGTGCAAGTGGTAACAGTTTATATATTGATTATAAACTTCCTGAAGTTTTAATCTGTAATCAAGGGTTATGTTTGCCAACTTCATTTGTTCTAATTAAAAATATGGCTCAAAATATAATCCTCGGAACACCTTTTTTGAATCTCTTAATGCCTATTACCAAAATAGACACTATTGGGATTCATACAGAACTTGATAATCAAAAGATTATATTTGAATTCATTACTTCTCCATATACAAAAGAATTAGATCAAATTTCCGACTTAATGTATTTAAAACAAAATCAAGTTAATTTTTTGCAAAAAGAAATTAGTTTTCTTACTACAGAACAACGAATCCAGCAATCTACTTTTCAACAAAAAATTAAGTTACTTGAAAAAGAATTCCAGGACGAAATTTGCAGTGATGTTCCAAATGCTTTCTGGGATCGCAAAAAGCATATGGTATCACTCCCTTATGAGCCTAACTTTGATGAAAGAAGAATACCCACAAAGGCTCGTCCCAGTCAAATGAAAAAAGAGTATATGGAACTTTGCAAAAATGAAATTAATACTCTTCTCCAGAAAAAATTAATTAGACCTAGTCGATCTCCTTGGAGTTGTACTGCTTTTTATGTAAACAAAAATGCTGAAATTGAAAGAGGGCTTCCTAGGTTAGTAATCAATTATAAACCTCTAAATGAAGTCTTACAGTGGATTAGATATCCTGTCCCTAACAAAAAGGATCTCTTAGATCATTTACAGGATGCAGTTATATTTTCAAAATTTGATATGAAGTCAGGATATT